TACTTAATAATAGTGTCAGGAAAAAAAATTATGAAAAATTTACAAATTTAATTATTAATATTTATAAAATTTTTTATTAATATATAATTATTTTTTTCACACCTCACTGACATGATATTTTCATTTTTTTTGGTAATTAAACCCCAGTGTTATTTTAAAAAAGTAATTAAATATTTATGAAAAAATTAATAATTTTAATTACTAATATTTATAATTTTTTCATTAATTTTTAATTTTTTTTAAATTTCACTGATTTATTTTTTCTTAAAATTAAAGGATTTAATACTTTTATATAAGTTTCTTTCTTTCTTTCTTTCTTTTTTAAGCATAGATATATGTTTTAAAATTTAATTTATTTTTTGTTTGTATATTTTTGTTAGATTAATTTATATTTTTAAAAAAAAATAAAAAATGAGTTTTATAGAATCAAATAAATAAAATTTATTTATTTTTTAATTACGATATTTAATTTTTTCATAAATAAAATTAACTATTTATTAAAATGAAACCACAAACTACACCAATATAATTGCATAGAAACTAGTATATAAAAATTTAATCATTTTAATAATATTTTATAACAATAATACTACGATCTCAAAAATAATATACCGAATTTTATCCAGAAATTTCAATCTACGATTCAAATTTATTTCACTTAGATTTACAATTCATTAATTTAATCTGCACTATATAAAAAATCTGTATAGTTTAGTCTGGCAGCATAACATTTTTCTATTTTATAATTCACAAACTATTCTTAATTGTGATTGTTGACATATACGTTTTTTTTCCCAATATGGTATTAGTGAGTCTAATTTAAATATAAAAGTGTGTGCCTATGTAGTGATAATATGCGAGATTATATATTGTATATATATATATATATATATATATTTTGGGTGGTAAATACGGGATTATAGTAAGCCCTGGTTTGGCTATTATTTTGGGGCTAAAAAAGTACAAAATAACAAAATAACGTAAATAAGATAATAAGACAAAATATCACATCCAATCCATAATCATTACATTTTTTTTCTCACAAAAGTCAAAAAATTCAAATCAAACGAGATTAAAAAAGTCTCAACACAAAAAAGTTAATTATATTAACTAATGCCAAACGAAACTTAATAGCAATAGTTCTAGGGTATGAACCACACATTGCATCAACAGAAAGGTGGGATGCAATATAAGTAGGAATGTTGTCAAAAATTTGCGATTCCTCAATGGTTTCAAAGCCTTGATTTGGTAATAAGTTCGCACACTTGTTGGGTTCTCGATAGATATGATCAACTGTTGTTAATTCTAGCTGCTCTATTAGATATCTGCAATCAAATACGAGATTACTAAGTTAGTGTGTGTTGAAGGAGCTTTTCATTATCATCACGATTTTAGCATCTGACTCAACTATAAACAACTTAAATTATTAAAACAAAACTCGTAATTAGCTAAAAGGCTCAAAAAATCCGAAATTGGAGAGGATTGAAGACTGGCCCAATTTTGTCAATTATGAATTGTACTTGATTTTCATTAGAGTCCTGCTAATAATCCCCACTAATATTCGTAGGACCTTCATCTCTTTCATTTGAGTGCTACTATTAGCACCTACCTCTTTCCTTTGGATCCCCACCTCTTCCATTTTTTTTTTCTTTCAATTTTATCCCAACATAAAATTTCACTTTTACCATTATCCCTCATCTTCTAACCCTAATTTTCCAAACCCTAAGCCTAAACCTAACCCCTCTTAACTTCGGCTACCACCTCCACTGGCCGCCGGCCAGTCCTTCACCTCCAGTCGCCACCTTCTTCTTCTTCTTCTTCTTCTAAAATTGCAATCTCCACTGCAATCACGATTTCAGCCCCTACCAATCGCGAACCCCACTGCCACTGCAATCTCTCTCTCTCTCTCTCTCTCTTTGCGTATGGTTGGGTCAGTAAGGTTTGAAGACGTGATGGCGACGGGGACAACGATCTGTGACCTCAAACCCTAGCCATCTCCATCGCCGTCGCGATCTGAGATCTCAACCGTAGCCGTCGTCATAATCTGTGACCTTAAACCCTAGCTACCGTCGCAATCTGTGGCCTCAAACCTTAGTCGCCTTTGTTGCTGTTGCGATTTCAGTTGAGATGAGCAGTGACCGACGATTAGTGATAATATGCGAGAATATATATTGTATAAATAAATAAATAAATATATATATATATATATATATATATATTTTGGGTGGTAAATACGGGATTATAGTAAGCCCTGGTTTGGCTATTATTTTGGGGCTAAAAAAGTACAAAATAACAAAATAACGTAAATAAGATAATAAGACAAAATATCACATCCAATCCATAATCATTATACTTTTTTTCTCACAAAAGTCAAAAAATTCAAATCAAACGAGATTAAAAAAATCTCAACACAAAAAAGTTAATTATATTAACTAATGCCAAACGAAACTTAATAGCAATAGTTCTAGGGTATGAACCACACATTGCATCAACAGAAAGGTGGGATGCAATATAAGTAGGAATGTTGTCAAAAATTTGCGATTCCTCAATGGTTTCAAAGCCTTGATTTGGTAATAAGTTCGCACACTTGTTGGGTTCTCGATAGATATGATCAACTGTTGTTACTTCTAGCTGCCTATTAGATATCTGCAATCAAATACGAGATTACTAAGTTAGTGTGTGTTGAAGGAGCTTTTCATTATCATCACGATTTTAGCATCTGACTTAACTATAAACAACTTAAATTATTAAAACAAAACTCGTAATTAGCTAAAAGGCTCAAAAAATTCGAAATTGGAGAGGATTGAAGACTGGCCTAATTTTGTCAATTATGAATTGTATTTGATTTTCATTAGAGTCCTGCTAATAATCCCCACTAATATTCGTAGGACCTTCATCTCTTTCATTTGAGTGCTACTATTAGCACCTACCTCTTTCCTTTGGATCCCCACCTCTTCCATTTTTTTTTTTTTCAATTTTATCCCAACATAAAATTTCACTTTTACCCTTATCCCTCATCTTCTAACCCTAATTTTCCAAACCCTAAGCCTAAGCCTAACCCCTCTTAACTTCGGCTACCACCTCCACTGGCCGCCGGCCAGTCCTTCACCTCTAGCCGCCACCTTCGTCCCCCTCTTCTTCTTCTTCTTCTTCTTCTTCTAAAATTGCAATCTCCACTGCAATCACGATTTCTGCCCCTACCAATTGCGAACCCCACTGCCACTGCAATCTCTCTCTCTCTCTCTGCGTATGGTTGGGTCAGTAAGGTTTGAAGACGTGATGGCGACGAGGACAACGATCTGTGACCTCAAACCCTAGCCATCTCCATCGCCGTCGCGATCTAAGATCTCAACCGTAGCCGCCGTCATAATCTGTGACCTTAAACCCTAGCTACCGTCGCGATCTGTGGCCTCAAACCTTAGTCGCCTTTGTTGCTGTTGCGATTTCAGTTGAGATGAGCAGCGACCGACGATGACGGCTAGGCGATATTGGCGAGAGAGAGAAAGAGAGAGGGGGAGCTCGCGTCGGTGGCTTTGGATTGAGGTTGTCTGAAGCTGCTGGGGGTGGTTGACTGTGGGGGTCGCGATGAAGTTAACCGAAAAGTGGCTCTAGATTGGAGTTGATCGGAAAGTGGCGCCGACGGGGGAGGTTATGGCTGGAGCTGGCAATGGTTGGATTGGAAAGGTAGGTTGGAGTGAGGGTATAGTTGGAATTAAGACGGGGGTTCAAACAGAAAATAGAGGGGCCTCATTTAGCTAGATAGAGATTCAAAGAAGTGGGGGGTCCAAAGAAGAACTTAAGGTGTTAATAGCGGCCCTCCTTTCATTTTTTTTTTTTTTTTACAATTCTACCCTAACAAAAAATTTCAAATTTATCCCCCATTATTCCTAACTCTAACCCTACCTCCTACCTCGGCCACCACCAGCTTCAGCAACCCATCCCTAGCCCTCGTCTACCCCTTCATAACCCATTACTACAATCCTTCCCTTAGCCTTCTGTAGTTGTACTTCGTTACATTTGTAGTCCTTTCCTTCCCTTTAAAGCAACCCCTAAAGGGCAACAAGAGTAGAGAAAATGGATCACCAAAGGGGGGTTACAGTAACAAGAGAATCACTCGAGGTTTATTGCAGGCTGGTTGCAGCGATGTTGAAGTTGAGAGTACTAGAATTGGGATTTAGAGAAAAAGAGTAGTATTGGGAATAAGGTAGACATTGAAAAAAAAAAACAAAAAAATAAAGAGATGTGGTCCAAAAAAAAAATTAAGCTTTCGTCCAGGAAGGGTTAATTTAACTTTATTTTTTAGTTTTTTTTGACTAATTTAATTTGCCTAAATTAGTTTCGTTTGGAAAGGATTTTTAATTTTTTTTTATTTGAGGCATAGTTTGGGAAGTTGGTTTTGGTGAGTTAAGGGCTAAAATAGCCACAAAAAACAAAATAGGCTATTTTAACCATAAAAAACAAAATATCAAATCCAACCCATAATCATTACACTTCTCTCTCACAAAAAAAGTCAAAAAAGTCAAAAAGTCCTTTCCAAACCAGGCTTTTTAGCCCCAGATTAAAATAGCCAAAAAGTCAAAAAATCAATCCATTTTCCAAACGGAGACTGAATGTGTTAGTTGTAAAAATAATAATAATTATTATAATTTAATTGTGATATTTTATGTTATTAATATAATTCACTTATTTTATTTTTTTATATTTATTTAATCAGTTTGACTCTTAGCACACGGAACTTGAGTAGAGACAAAAATAATAAACACCCTTCTCATTATCACCAAGGATCCTTTAGAGTGAAATTTCTCTAAAGTTTCCTAGAGTGCTACATTGTGTGGTTGAGATTTACTGGCAAGTCACATCACAGTTGAATGTAGGACCAATTGTGTAAAAAAAAAAAAAAAAAAAAAAAAAAAAAAAACAATTTGATAAGATCAAACCAAGAGGGCCCACACTTTAGATCCAAGGGTGGATCACCCTTCATTTCACTCCCTTGGGCTGTCACTGTAACATATGTCTAAAAGTTGTTTGTTAGCCTTCACATATTCTGTGACAGAGTCACTCCTATAGGTCCTTCCATGCTTTGGAATCAGCAATATTATTACCCCCCACCCCTCTCTCCTCTCTCTCTCTCTCTCTCTCTCTCTCTCTCTACACACACATACACTGTAAGTTCATGATCTTGTATGTTATACTAGTTTGCCATCAAATTGCTCTTTGATTGATGCCCTCTATATGAAATTGCGAATTTTCAATTCTTCTTTGCAGATTGGCTTCTTGAGCTTTCTGGGTTTTGAACAATGGATGAAAAGAAGAGAGAGATTGATGGGGACACTGGTGGGAAGACAGAAAAGACAAAGGGAGTGGGTGAAGAAGATGGTGATGAAGCTATGAAGAAGTGTTTGGAGGAAAACAAAGGGGACAACGCCAAGTGCAAGTCAATGGTTGAATCATTCAAGTCTTCTTCTCCTCCTCCTCCTACAAATAAACCCATTACACCATTGAGGCTTAGGAGTGGTTCTTTGACTGATGTTTGAACTTCTTACATCATTTTAATTTTGGGGTTTTTTTTTTTTTTTTTTAATTTTCTTTTAGGGTTGTATTTGAGTCATTTGTGGTATAACCCAGTTCTTGAATATCATTGTGTGAAGTGTCATATTTTAGAGTTACTATTATCTTAGTTGGGTAAAATGTAATTTTATTTTTATTTCTTAATATGAGAATAGTATTTTAATGCAGGAATTTCAATACATGTCAAATGGGCATGTGATTCTAGATCTTTAAATTATGTCTTGAGTTTATCACATTTTCAAATTTCAATAATCGAGTAGCCATAAGTGTTTTGCGACATGAAAATAAGAAGATTTAATAATAGAGAATCTTGGCGAATGGTTGTGATAAATATTTTGAGGCAGGGATAGAAAATTTGAGAAAGAGGGTCCATGCCATCTCAATAGCCAAAAAAGAAAGTGATTTTTTTTTTTTTGGACTTTTTTTTTTTTTGGGACTTAAACCATCATTAAACACAATTGGTGATTTTTCAATTTGATATCGGAGTTGTGGAATTCAAGTTTGAAGTGGTAAGAAGTTGAACATGTAGGACTTGTTCTGCAAGATGCTTATGTTTATTTGATTCAAACAATTTAATTTTATAATGTTTCCTATTACATTTGTTTGTTTAGAGGGAAAATAGTTGTTGGAAATAAATTTTCAGTGAAAGCCAACAAGAAGCCTTAATCCTGCATGTTTCCGGATCAGATCATGAGATTTGCTCATGAAGTGAAGGGGGTTTCGGCTTCTAGAAAAAGTTGAGACCTATACTTCTTTCCTTTTTCTCGGAAAGCATACACATATTTTCCCCGAAAATCTTTGTTGAATAAGAAAAAAGGGTCTTTAGTAAAACCAATTAACACATTTTTCTAATTGTGTCCAAGTCTTGTTTGTGCATTTTATTTTATTTATTACCCCTTTCGTAGGTAAAAGCTTCTTTTTACACAATAATTTCATGCCCTGTTATGAACAAACAAATGTGAAAATAGCATTATTGTAATTGGTAAAGATCAATATTGTAAGAAACAACTGTTATTTTGTGGTAAAAGTTATGAATGATCAAATCTAGGGTGCACACTTATAGGGTGTTTTTTTGACTTTTTGGGTTAAAATAGTACTAAAAGATAAAATATGTTAAAATATGTTAAAATAATCAATAAAACAAAATGTCATATCAAATTCATAATTATTTCATTTTTTCTCTCACAAATATCAAATTTAATTTCAAAAAAATCTAATTTTCTTCCCAAACACAATTATTTTAGCCTATTAAAATAGCTAAAAATTAAAATAATCTACTAAAATAGTCAACTTTTCAAACACTAATTTAATATGAAAATTATGAATCACTATAATTATGTTATGGACGGTGTGATTATGTTATGAATGATTTGTGGTAAGAAGTATTACGACCCATTTTGGTGAGAAAAATTAATTATAATATATTGTAATGTTTGTTACAGAAACTTATGATTTATTGTGTCCCTTATCATAAGATAATATTAACCCCTTTTAACCGTGGAAACCCAGACCCTACCCATGGATTTTTTGGTCTCAGGCCGAATCCGGATCATGGTGGCCTAATATGGGCTTTAATTTGATCATTTTTTTTATGAACTTCAAAAATATATATATAAAAAACAAAAATTATAATACAAAAATTTGAAGTACATTATGATAATTAGAATTGACTATTGAATCATGAAAAATAATTAATTTTATTTACTAAAATACATAATTACATTAATTAGGATTATATTATTAAATCGTATTCATAAAAATATTGTCACGAATTTTATAGTTGGTGTACTACTCACATAGTTTCTCAATTTTAGTCTTTTTATTTTATTTTATTAAAATGTTTATTTACACACCCAAAAAAAAAAAAAACCAAAAGAAAGAAAGAAAGAATCTGAGAAAAAACAGTATATATCATTAGAAAATGTTATGGTCTTAGATTTTGTACCCTGAAATTTGTCAAGAATATGAGTGAAGGGTATAGATGAAAAGTCCGTATGATATCAACTATACTCATATTGAATCTCGTCCACACAATTTGAATTATGGGCAGTTTTTTGGATTTTTTTTTTTTTTTTGGAGGGGTTCATAGTATTTTTGTATCTTATTTAGTATATATGGGCTTAATATGAGTCTCTAACAACGATTCAGGGGACAAGTTTTTGAAACAAGATTTGAAAAGCCCATTGATCGGGCCATGAACCAGCCCACAGGCCATACCCCTCAGTCCAAGCCCAACCAGTATGTTTTAGAACGAGCCCAACCTATCCTCAGGCTTTGAGCCGGCCCAAAATCTTTTTGATGAGACTTCTATTATAAATGACCAGTGCCTGTTGCTGATCCATGCAACCATAAGTTAACAAATCAAAGACTCCTTCCATTGATTTTGTTCGCAAACTTTATTTACAGTGTGTGCACAAATTGTCTCTAAACAAATCACAAATTATATTTATTATTTACCCACTTCGTCACATTATGAGAACTGTGAGGATATATTTTCTGAGTACCAACACGTGGCAAGGTGACGCCGACGTGTCAGCCGAGGTGCCACGTGTCCTGGTCGTGACGCCGAGGTGATCTCGGCAATGCCGAGGTTATCTCCGAAGATATCAGAATCCGAGATAAGTGGATAAAGGACAAGAGTCCTAGAATGAAGAGGGAACTCAACCTGGATATGGACAAGAGTCCTAGATTGAAAAAAGACTTCAGTTTGGGTAAAGATAAGACTCTTAGAGAGTTTATCCTAATCCCACTGGGAGTCCCAGATTAACAGTAATCCTAAGTCCATTAGGGCCAGGCTCCTATGGGACTAGGATTGTATTGGCTATAAAAGAGAGGCACCCCCATGGGTCTAAGGTATGCTTTTGATACTTAAGCTTGTGAGTTTAGTATTTGATTATCTTTGAGAGATATACTGACTCGATCGTCGGAGTGCCCCCGGGTGGAAGAGCCACCACCGGAGCCTTTTCTTTCTGTTGCAGGTTAGTTGAAGCCATCCATTCTACCGGTGTTCTCCAGTGATTACTAGGCGGGCAGTGTGGTCAGAAAATCACTCACACAATTTGGCGCCGTCTGTGGGAAAGAAAAGAGAATAGATGGCCAGTAACGGACAGAGGGAAAACATTGGGGGCGACACTCCTGCTGGGAGTGGCAGACCAATTGACCTTGACGTTGAAGGAGACAACCACAATACAGAAACTCATGACCAGGGCCACGGAGAGAAAGACGTCGGCTAGGAGGGCAACGCTTCGAAGAGGGCAGACCAAAGCAAATATTATAACGAAGATAACCTTCAGGTATGGAGGGATAGGTGCCTACGGAGGGATGAGGAAGTAAAGACTTGGCAAACATGTTGGCAGACCTACAGTCAGTGGTCAACTTCATGATGCAAAACAATGTCATGCAGCCACCATACCCGCTGCAGGATACGCCGATGCCAGCAACTAACACCCAGAAGGGAGGAAGAAGAACAATCCCCGAAGTCTCCCAGCACACCAGGAGCAGAAGGCACTCTCACCGACCTTCCAGGGAAGGCAGAGGAGAGGAGTCTCGAAGAACGTATCACACGAAGGACCCAGAACCCAAAGAACATCGGCATGTTCAAGGGCAGGCGCTTTGCTTTGACACAACACATGGAGAGAGATCAAAACGAGCCCACCACGAGGCCAAAAGTAGTGTGCCGAAGAGATTGAAGTCCAGAGATAGTCGAGCTCCAAGAAGGAGTAAAGAAGAGTTGAGAGATTACCTCAAGAGGAAGCAACAGAATACTGAAGCCGAGGTAACTTTCCCGGTTAAGCCGAGGACACCATTCTCAGTGGAACTGGACAAATTTCAAGCACCAAAGCGATTCAGTATGCCGAGGTTCCAAATATATGATGGTAAGTCAGATCCCAACTTCCACGTCGGGCTATACCTGAATTCGATGGCATTATATAGTGGGAACGAGCCGTTGCTCTGCAAAGTGTTCTCCTCGTCCTTTGGAAAAATTGCATCAGATTGGTTCCATAAACTACCGAAGGGAAGCGTAAAGACTTGGGAAAGCCTGGTCGAGATGTTTGTGGCCAGGTTTGTGACGAACAAACTACAACCATTGAGGGTGGACGCATTGATGGCTCTAAAGATCAGCAAAGACGAAGGCCTTAGGGCCTATGCGAAAAGGTACTATGAGGTGTTCAATCGAATACCAGAATGTAATCAAGAAGTAGCGGTCGTGTCATTCAAGAATGGCCTGAAAGAAAATTGTCCACTACGGAAGTCTTTGGCAAAAACTTTGCCAAAAAGCATGGAAGAGCTCATGGTGAGAATTGAGAAATATGCTAGAGCCGAGGAGGACACATCGGGGAATAAGGAGGTAAAGTAGGAAAAAGGGAACGGCGATCCAAAGCGAAGCCGAGGTGACAACGGATTTAACAAATCGGAGATAGAATTGAGGGGTAAACAGGCAGTGACGACTGTGTTCCGAATCCCAGTACACAAAGTCCTGGATCAAATCCGAAATCAGCCTTATTTCAGAGCACCAGCAAAGGCCCCAGGGAAATACATGGGAATGAACGTTGGTAGGCGTTGTGCTTACCACAATGAAGAAGGGCACCCAACTCAGGGCTGCAGAGCCCTAAAAGCTTACTTAGAGGACTTAGTAAGGCAAGGCCATCTGAGGGACCTCGTCGATGAAGCCAGGACAAGAGAAGAGCAGGCAAGATTGCCTCAAGCACCAGCGGCCCCACCTCCCCCAGCACAGCAACCACAGGGAGGGGGACCTAGGGTGGTTAATGTAATTCACTCAAAAGTGAACGAAAGCGACATTCGGGGAGAAACCCAAAGAGTAAAACACCTGCAACACGTGAACCAAGTCAGACATAAAAGACCTCGGCCTGAAGAGTGCCGAGGACCGATGATAGCCTTCACTGAAGTTGACCTAGAGATGGTCCAGCATCCATATAATGATGCCTTGGTAGTATCCCTCTAGGTTGGGAAGTGCCAAGTGAAACGCATCCTAATAGATCAAGGCAGCTCTTGTGGCATCATGTACGTTAGATGTTACAAGGAACTAGGCCTTCACCCAGACGACATGAAGCAATCGAATAGCCCGATGGTCGGCTTCAATGGAATGCCGACGTGGCCACTGGGCGCAACAAGCTTGGAAGTACAAGCTGGTACTAAGAAGATCAGGACAGAATTCATGGT